TTTTTTTTTTTTTTGTCTTTATTTACTGCTGAATTCTCAGTATCTGCTGAATGAACAAGAGAACCAATATTTTCAGTTTAATCTCACCTTTATGAATCCTCTGCTTTAGGCAAACCAACCCACACAGCTATGGCTTGGCCAACACTTACCTTTCTATGCTGCATGTGTTAATTGTTGGCCCTTGAGGTTCATTCTTTCTCTATCCATCTTATAAACATAATATTCATTTTTAAAGCTTCAGCTTAAACTCTTTAGCTTCTTGGTAAAGCTTTCATAAATTGACTACAAGTGATACCTTTCTCCTCTGAATTTTAGAGCATTCATTTGTACAAACCCCTAGGGTAGTATCATATTAGCAAGTATTCACAATTTAGATTTTCTCTACATGTACTTCTTCTCTAATTAGATGGAAAGTTGATTAACATGTTCCTGCCAGTTTGAACCACAGGCAGGGAATGCATGACTGTCCCATTCGCAGCTTACACTACTGGTGGTACAAATGGATCAAATCACTTTTACTGACCTTTTGCTAATATAATTAATAAGAAGAAGCTGCCCAAGGAGACAGTTATGCATGTAGCACTGGTGGTTTAATCCACCTGGCAGGGAGACATAAATTATAGCCTGTCATGAATGTGTTAAGAAGCCTCCATGACCTCTAACACACTAAAGACATCATCTTATACTTAGTAGGTTCTTAATAAACATTTGTCTGTTACTTGACTAACGCAGTTTCCTTGTGGAGGCAGATATAATTGGTGGTGCACACAAAGCATTTAAAATAAATCACACCCTATATAAAAATTAACTAAAAATGATTCACAGATCTAAATCTAAGCGCCAAGATTACAAAAAAGACCTTTAAGAAAATGTAGGAGTAGGTCTTTGCCATCTTTGGATAGGGCAATTTCCTTAAGGAAGGACAACAATAGTACAAGCAACAAAAGGAAAAGTAGGTATACTGGATTTCATCAAAATGAAGATCTTTGCCAGACGTGGTGGTGCGTGCCTGTAATTCCAGCTCTTAAGAGGCTGAGGCAAGAGGATCACTGGGAGTTTGAATCAAGCCAGGGCTACAAAGTGAGCTCAATACTATATGACCCAACAATTCCTCTCCTAGGTATTTATCAAGAACTGAAAACAGATGCTCACTCCAAAACTCATGCATGAACCTTAACATCACCATGTCTAACTTGAGAAATGGAAACAAATGGAATGTCAATCAGTTGATGGATGGATAAAGTAAGATATAGTATAGCCACACAATGGACTATATTCTGCTATAAAAATGAGGTACTGATACATACTAAAACATGGATAAACCCTGAAAACATGTTAAGTAAAAGAAATCAGACACACAAAGCCACAATTATATGGTTCTTTTTGTTTGTTTTCTTTGAGACAAGGTCTCACTGTATAGTCCAGGCTGGGCTTGAACTTGCAGTAATTCTCCTGCCTCAGCCTCCTGAGGGCTGGGATTACAGGTGTGCACCACCACACCTGGCTATAAGGTTTCATTTAGATAATGTGTCATTCAGAGATAGGAAAATTAGTGATACACCCACTAAGGCTGGGAAGATGAGAATGCAAAATGACAGCTAGCAGGTAGTACATGCTTTCTTTCTTTTTTTTTTTTGTACATGCTTTCTTCTGCAGTGATGAAAAGTATTCTAAAAGTAGACAGTGGTGGGGCTGGTGAGATGGCTCAGTGGCCTAAAGCACCTACTTAGAACAAGCTTCAAAGCACAGGGACCGCGATTCAATCCCTCAGCACCACATGCCAGCCAGCCCTGCCCCCAGCGGGCTGAGCTGGCCCCCCCCATAAATAAAATAAATATTTAAAAAATAAAATAAAATAAAAGTAGATAGTGGTAATGGTTGCAACTTAGTGAATATGTATGTAGTTGAAACTTTTATGGTATGTGAATTATATTTCAATGAACCTGTAATACTGAAACACTCCTATTTTAAAATACACAGTAGAAAATAAACTCATTCTAGGATAGTATCACTTAATATGATGTTATGTTTTTTAAAAAAGCAAAGGAAAAAACTAAATGTTAACACAGATGCTAATCAGAAGATTAAAAAATCACAAAAGGGGCTGGTGAGATGGCTCGGTGGTCTAAAGCACCTACTTAGAACAAGCTAAGCTAAGCAAAGCACAGGGACCGCAGTTCAATCCCCCAGCACCACATGCCAGCCAGCCCCGCCCCCTGGTGGGCTGAGCTGGCCACACACACACAAAATAAATAAATAAGTAAATAAGTAAATAAATAAATAAATAAATAAATGTTTTAAAAAAAATCACAAAGGTGGTACAAAAGATCTTGAAAACAGTGGAACACAGGGTGTTGGGAAGATTTCAAATTAAAGATTTCTTGGTTTAATTTTTGGTTTTATGCTAGTGTATTTTGTTTTTCATATAGGTTTGCTATATTTAGTTACCTAGCTAAACCTTGCAGCAAAGTATCATTAATTCTAGTAGATTAATGATAACAAACAAAACATAACAAAATATTTGACAAAAAGAAGGTACTCAGGTCAAAGACCATCTTCTTCCTATCTAACCAGGCCCACCATGCCAAGCATGCTACCGCCTACCCACAGTCACCTACCTTCAATGCGCCTCTTCTTAGAGCGTGAGTGGGCCTGAGGACTGGCCTCTGCTGTGCTCTCCACAGGGTTGAGGGAGCGGCGGTAAGTAGTGACTGGACCCCAGGGAGAGCCACCAGGTGTCTGGGGGATACGCTGTAGACACTTTTCCAGATAGGATAGTCTAAGGGACATGGAGCAGAGAGGCTAAAGTGGCCACCAAATCCCTCCCCAGGCCCTTCTGTAATCCATACTTTCACTCATCCACGAACTTACAGTAGCTTCTTGTCTTGATGGAAAAGGCGGGGAGAGAACTCTGAAAGGAGCTCCAAGAATGCCAGATTTGGGAGCATATCAGAGGAGCCAGCTGGAGAAAGCTCAGACAAGGAGAACTTGATGCCTTCCCTTAGGTTGGACAGAATCATTTTAGGAAGTCCCTTTTCCTTTCCCCCTTCCCTCCCAGGGCTGGAATAGCCTGTCCAAGCATATCCTCCTATTCCCCACCTGTCTCTGACAGCACACCCTCCACCAACCTAACTTTAATTCTTTTTGTGTTACCCTCCCTTCATGACCTCATATCCAGCCCTCCCCGAACCCAGCCCCCAACCACTGCTTCCTCACTTGTGCAGCTTGACCAAAATGTCCCGGTTCTGTAGTTGCTGGGGTCCAAAGCTCAAAGCAAACCTCCGGGCTAGGTCTCTCATCTCCATGAAGGCTGGCAATTCACTTAGACCCTGGGGTCCCTGCTCCTGAAGCAGTTCTGTGTATAGCTGTGTCCAGGAGATATGGCAAGTTTGGGGAAGAACAGGCAACACTAGAGATACATGGCATCCCCTTCTCTACTCAGAAGTTCCAGAGGCCTTGGAATGCCATCTATTTTATATCTTTCCTCCCAGGACAATGCCCTTATCCCTGACCCCCAGCGCACAGGCAACCTGTAGTCCTACTCTATAAAAAGAAGTACATCTGTAGTAACTGAAGGAGGTTGCCAGGGAACAGTTCCCTGTCACTTCATTGTTGATGCCCCCAAGTCTTCACCCAAAGCTGACTTTTATAGGTAAGGCAAAAAATACCCCTTTCTAGAGGTCTCCTAGGTATGAAGAAGCTTTTCATATAAAATAAAGAGTTAAACCAAGAAAGATTTTGCTCTTCAGGATCTTGTCTCCTAAAAGCTGTGGGCAAAAATGTGGGGATAATCAGGAGGACCTTGATAAGCTTGAGGCCAAGTGAGTACCTGCTTGAGACTCAGCAGCAAGATCCTGGAACAATGGCTTCGGTCAATCTGCCTTGCTCTAGTCAATGTTTCCTTGATAATGTCACCATAGTCATTATAGAACTGAGGGAGAGAAATGGAAAAGGTATTGGTTGACTGTAAGAAAACACTGGTTTTTCTTTAAATCCCTAATCATGCCTCCTTCCCAAAAAGCCAGAGGAAGGAAAACACGAATCTAAGCATTAAATAACTCACACTAAACCTCATCTTTATCTGATAAGTGCAGAGCCTAAGAAATCAGTTTATATTAAATAAACACAGAAAAAACTCTGACTGGAGGAGTGCCACAGCCCACTCTCAGCCAGCACTGAAGTCTGCGCGTCTTTCCTCATCAGAAGGAAGCTCCATGGAGCAGAGCTTGTGCTCTGTTCACTACATGCACTGTGCCTAGGATGCTGGGTATACAGGAGGAGCTCACTAATGGAAGTGAGCCCAGTCGTGGGGTGGGGCTAACACTCTATGTATCTCGTGACAATTGAGCCTTCCTTCCACTCTTTTTTGTTCCTTCTTCTATTATTCCAGTCTATAGACTGGGTTTGAAGAAAAACCAATTTTCAGGCAGGAAAAATAATCTGTCATCCAACGAATGCAAACTTATCTTTTTCTCTATATTTCATATAAAGTTGCCTTCCCTTGTCCCTTTATTCTAAACTCCTACTGCCATTCCCTGTTCCTTCTACTTTAAACCTGATCCCATAAGATACCCACCTTCCTAACATACTGTTGTATTTGAGCTCAAGGCTTTGCTCTACTTGGTTCCCTCTCCTTTGTGTCTGTAGGGCATTATATAGTACCTTGTTGTAATGTTTGAAAACATCTGAGGCTGCATCCAGCTCCAGTACTCCATAGAGCAACAGCTTGCAGAACCCAGCCAGGAGGCGGCGCCGCTGGTGCAGCTGCTCTATCTGCATATGATCATCTTGGGTCTGACCTGGGTCATAAGGGCAAAATGCAAACACAGCCTTAGGCCTCTGCTCTAATTTCTTGAGCCAGGCCCAGTTCCAAGCGCTTCCTTTGCCATAGGCTTAGAAGTTCAGTACCACTGCCCAGGTCTCCAGACTGAAGGAAGACATGGTCCATGAGGAAACTGGCTAACTCAGACTGGAGAGTAGCTTCCGGTAGAAAGACAAGGGGCCTAAGGAAATCTCGTCCCCCTGCTATCATCTGAGGGCTGAAGATGAGAAGCAGATCACTCAATAAAACAAAAGCCTGTTGGGGGAAGAAAAATAAACAGGATGAGTACAACAAATTAGAGTACTTGCCAAGATTAGAACTGCACAACTCACATCCCTGTAGAATAAGGTCTCCTTAAACCAAGAGGGGCATTCCCCTCCTTGCTCCCACTTGAAACAGTGCTTACCTGCTCCTGGATCTCTAGATCTACATGAGAGAGACAGTTCTGGCAGAGTTCACAGACGGCCACAATCCTACCCTTCAGATTCAACAACTGCTTCTGTGGAAAGAGAAGCTTGCAGGACTATGAAGATATTGGCTCCTCCCTCATCCCCCTCCTTAGACCCATACTCACCTGGGAACCACCTGACACTGAAATGTGAGTTAGTGTCCAGAGAATGGAAAAGTAGACAAGAGTCAAGGCTGGCAGGATCACCTGTGAACATAAAATGTGAGTAAAACAAGTTTGAGTCAGTAAAATGAGGGGCATGCAGTGAGGAGAAAATGAAAGAGCAAGGCACAAAGGAGGAGGGGAGAGACAGGGAGGCTGACACACACATCCATGGTTGCATCTATCCATACAATAGCAAAGAGAGAAAATGAGACTAGGGAAACCCAATTCCTTTTCCAGAAGAAAAGAATATTTCACACAATCTTTAGAGGTTTCTATCCTAGAGAAGTAACCCTAGTGTACTCAGCCTCCTAGAATCCCTCAATATCCTTTTTATTTCTAAGGAAACCCAAGAACTATCTTCTCAGGCACTAAAATATGGTCTGCCTCCCAAGTGAGGTGTGACGCCACCTAATCTTCATCCATACATCAACTCCATACCCAGGGAACTGGGCCTGCCCCGGAGAGATGGGCATCTGGGATCCAGGCCCTTAAGAGCACCTCTCCTGCCCCCACATCTCCATCCAACTTGTCTACTTGCCTGGTGAGGAACCTCTCCCATGTCCACAGCCTTCTGGAGGAGACGGTAACACGGATCATAGAGCTCCCAACGAGTCAGATCGTGAGCACTGTGCGAGAAAAGGAAGACATTATGTTGTAAATCAAAAAGGATCAACTCCACAGGCACTAGAGGAAAAAGGCACTGGAGCAGGAGGGAGATGCTCACTTGTAAAAGGCAGAGAGACGCTTCAAAGTAGCTGCCAGACTGTATGCTTCATCCTCATCTATGAAGGATGACTGAGGAAGAAAGCAAACCCACAGGACGTCTGTCTCAAGAAAGCATTGACCCGTGTATCCCATGTCCCTCTCCCACTCTTATGGTGTCCCACCATGTGCCTGAGCTCCTACCTGCAGCAGCTCCTCAACTTCTTGCTGGAAACGGTCAGTCAACAAGTCCATTAGTTGGCTGCGGGCAAAGTCCACCCGGCTGAAGAAAGTGAACTCGGGCTTACAGAGCAGATAAAGGGCTTGTGCACTAGCGTCAAGCACCGGGGGCTCTGTGTGCTTCACCACCACTTCTTGGAGTTGTTGCAAGAGCAACTCCAGGTGCTGAGAGGGAAAGAGGTGGCAGAAGACAGTGGAGAGGTGAGAAATAGAGACAAAAGCAATAAACTTCAAGGATAAGATGCCTATGAAAGAAAGGGCTTTTCATTTCTTCTGGTACCCAGGTTCCAATACAGAAGCAGATACTAGAAGAACTTACGGCCCTCAGGAGGGAGCAGTGAAGTATAAAGAATAGATTTTTTCCTGCCTCACCTTTTCCAAACGTCTAGTACAGTAGATGCTGAGGTCAAAGTAGTTGAGGAGCTGCAGCAGGGGAGCAACCTTCTCTGCATCAGCTGAGAACTGTGATGATGGACAAGGAGCCCTATTTATTAGCAAACAGGATGCTAATTCTTCCCATTAGGGGCCATTTCCTTTCACCCACTCACCCTAGAACCCACTCTTGCTCTACCTTGGCCAGGAGCTGGGGCAGCAGGGGGATGAGGTGTTCAGTTAGCTTCACCTTGTCATCAGCTTGGACCTTGCGTTCTTTAGCGGATAGGCCCTGGAATTAGTCACTTGGGGGTCAGAGATACTAGGGAGAAACACTGGGTTCAGAGGTTGTATCTGTGTATCCCTCCTCCCCATGATCTCTTCCCAGAAAGGAAACAGAATTCAGCAGTTTCTTTCATGTTTCCTTTTTCTAGAGATGGAATTCTATAAAAGGGAGATAGAATGCCCTAACCCAGGACCTCAGGACAAGAATAAACATTATGTGGTTTCAGTACTGCTAACCTACCCAGACTGCTCTTCATGTCCTACCTTTCTCCCAGTGACTCGCCCCACAGGCGGGTGACACTCCACAGCTTGCCGGGCACTGGACACAAGGATTTCGATCAGTGTGTTCTCCTGTATGTCATTCAGGCCTAGGTTGGCAGGAGGAATAAAGACAGAGTCACAGATCAGTCACTCTCCAAGTCCTCTTCTTCCCCAGACCATCATCTCTGATGCTTTTAACAAAGTCTCCTAGTTTCACGCTAGGAGGTGAAAGGTCCCCATCCATGGCTACCATATGGCACGCACTCTGGTCCTTCTCCAGCAGCAGGCTTGTGAGACTCTCCCAATCCTTTAGATGAGGCCCTGCACAGTCCCACAGGCTGTCTACTAGGTAAGCAGCATGGTCATGGAGCTGTGGAAAAGGTACTGGGTGAGTTAATGCTGCCACATAAAACTGCTGCAGAACTGGAAAGCTGGTGTAGGAGGGTTGCAAGAGCCCACCCTGGACAAATTAGCAATTTAGCAATATCCTGCCTCAGAAAAAGGACTGACAGCTTTTGCAGCTCAGTGCAAATGCCCCAAGTTCAATCCCCAGTACCATCAGAAGAAAACCCCCCACAAAATAAAAATCCCTCCTCCAGGAGGAAGTGGTTCTGATAAACACTTTTTTTTCTCAGTGCCCACTCCTCCTCCTCTAAAAAGAGATTTCATGCACAACAGCTAGACATTCCCTGGGCATGTCACCTCACACTCCATAAAGAAGTACAGAAGAAGGTGGAAGAAAGTCTTCTGGGCATGTGGACTCCGGTGTCGCTCTCTGCTACCCACTGCTCTCATCTCAAACTCAGGGTAGAAGAGCCTAGTGGGATAGACACAAGGAAAGAGCACAGTACTGGAGGAAGTTGGGAAGGCCAAACTACCACAGAGGGAAAAAAAGGTCCAAAGAACAAAGGGGGGAAATGCAGAATCGAGGAAAGTTCAAGGGGCTGAGAGGAAAGAGGACACCAAGAGAGACTTTAATAGGTTTCAGGAATCCTAGGCAGAGCACCAGTGGATGAGAGAATAAAAGAAAGAAGGATATAAAAGAGATACACAAGAAGCCCCACTCACTTCCAGTACAGAAACTCTCCTGCGGCAGCAGCCAGGGCACGATTAGAAGCATAAACAACAGGGTAGACGCTCTCACAGTCTGCACTGGTCAGCACGCCTTCCATGTTTCTGTAAGGCAGCCAAAAAAAAAAACACCAAAAAACAAAAAAACAAAACTTTCTGAATTTTTTGGGCTGGGGAGATAGCTCAGTAGAATAAGTGCTTGCCTGGCAAGCACAAGGTCCTGAGTTCAATCCCCGATACTGCACAAAAGA